AGTGGTACCTAACCCCTACCAAACTAGCCATTTTCTACCCAAATCATTCCCCTTCTTGCTGGCGACAATGCGGGGACATAGGCTCCACTCTTCACATACTATGGTCCTGCAAATCTATTAAATCCTTTTGGAATAGTATATTCCGACTAATAACTGAAGTTTCCAAAATAACGATAACCCCTAATGCGGCACTTGCACTCTTACACATCGGGATTAACAATTTCCCATGTACCTCCCGTACCATCATTGTCCACATACTTTTTGCAGCTAAACTAAATATAACCAGATTATGGAATACAACCTCAGCTCCTTCCCTTCAATCGCTAATTTCAGATCTTAGCTTCCAATGCGAAATGAAAAAAAGACTGGCCATCAATAACTTCACCCAACATAAGTTTAATTCCTTATGGTCTAACTGGTTACAAAACCCTAACTGCTCCGTAAAACCCTGATACCTTACAATCAATCGCTCTACTTATCCACGTCAGACTGGTACTGCTTCCCTATTCTACCACAAGTTCTCCCCCCCTCCCCGCTACCCTCCCTCTATTATTCTCCACCTGTTTATTACCCCCTTACTACTCACTACTCCTCATCACGGTTCAGTCCACCCCTAGCATACCTCTGATGTCTATGCCATAACTCTATTTCCAACACTAGCCAAAAGGTGGGGTAACATTTTAATACAGCTGTATTGTATGCTTACATTTATACTGAACCAAATGTTTTCTCCCTGTTAAATTTTTTAAAAACTATCAATAAACATTATTGAAATTAAAGTTTATTTAAACCCTAACAATGAAAATGTACCAATAAAAGCACTTTTTTACATCTGCTAAAAAAAAAAAAATTGACAGCCCGTCAGAGACACAAGCTAAAATCTGTACGGCTTGTCTGTAGGAACCCACAATGAACCCATGATTCACTGATCGTGGGTGCAACGTTTTGCAGGCTCCTGTGGAAAAAAATAAAAAATTCACATTTTTGTCTGCAAAAACATGTGCATTTATTATTTTTCCTAAAAGGAAAAAAAAGGGTTGAATAGTGCTTCACTAACTTAAGGGCCGACGAGCTGTGATGAACCCATGACCAATGGTGTGTGCAGCACTGATGACCCAATCCTAGTTTACTTTTGTTCAAAAAACTTAATTGAAATGTCACAAATGACATTTTGAAAGTTCTTTTCATCATGGTGGTGTTCACTGCAATGCAATAATTCGCATTGCAACTCTCCTGTAGGCAAGTACAGTCTATTTTCTCCACTGCAGGTAGCACTCAACCGCAGTGGCACTCCTGAGGGAGAGGAAGTCAAGAGGAACCTACAGTCAGGTCCATAAATATTGGGACATCGACACAATTCTAAAATTTCTGGCTCTATACACCACCACAATGGATTTGAAATGAAACGAACAAGATGTTCTTTAACTGCAGACTGTCAGCTTTAATTTGAGGGTATTTACATCCAAATCAGGTGAACGGTGTAGGAATGACAACAGTTTGCATATGTGCCTCCCACTTGTTAAGGGGCCAAAAGTAATGGGACAGAATAATAATCATAAATCAAACTTTCACTTTTTAATACTTGGTTGCAAATCCTTTGCAGTCAATTACAGCCTGAAGTCTGGAACGCATAGACATCACCAGACACTGGGTTTCATCCCTGGTGATGCTCTGACAGGCCTCTACTGCAACTGTCTTCAGTTCCTGCTTGTTCTTGGGGCATTTTCCCTTCAGTTTTGTCTTCAGCAAGTGAAATGCTCAATCAGATTCAGGTCAGGTGATTGACTTGGCCATTGCATAACATTCCACTTCTTTCCCTTAAAAAACTCTTTAGTTGCTTTTGCAGTATGCTTTGGGTCATTGTCCATCTGCACTGTGAAGCGGCGTCCAATGAGTTCTGAAGCATTTGGCTAAATATGAGCAGATAATATTGCCCGAAACACTTCAGAATTCATCTTGCTGCTTTTGTCAGCAGTCACATCATCAATAAATACAAGAGAACCAGTTCCATTGGCAACCATACATGCCCACGCCATGACACTACCACCACCATGCTTCACTGATGAGGTGGTATGCTTAGGATCATGAGCAGTTCCTTTCCTTCTCCATACTCTTCTCTTCTCATCACTCTGGTACAAGTTGATCTTGGTCTCATCTGTCCATAGGATGTTGTTCCAGAACTGTGAAGGCTTTTTTAGATGTCATTTGGCAAACTCCAATCTGGCCTTCCTGTTTTTGAGGCTCACCAATGGTTTACATCTTGTGGTGAACCCTCTGTATTCACTCTGGTGAAGTCTTCTCTTGATTGTTGACTTTGACACACATACACCTACCTCCTGGAGAGTGTTCTTGATCTGGCCAACTGTTGTGAAGGGTGTTTTCTTCACATGGGAAAGAATTCTTCAGTCATCCACCACAGTTGTTTCCCGTGGTCTTCCGGGTCTTTTGGTGTTGCTGAGGTCACCAGTGCGTTCCTTCTTTTTAAGAATGTTCCAAACAATTGTTTTGGCCACGCCTAATGTTTTTGCTATCTCTCTGATGGGTTTGTTTTGTTATTTCAGCCTAATGATGGCTTCACTGATAGTGACAGCTCTTTGGATCTCATATTGAGAGTTGACAGCAACAGATTTCAAATGCAAATAGCACACTGGAAATGAACTTTGGACCTTTTATCTGCTCATCCAGACTTCAGGCTGTAATTGACTGCAAAGGATTTGCAACCAAGTATTAAAAAGTGAAAGTTTGATTTATGATTATTATTCTGTCCCATTACTTTTGGCCCCTTAACAAGTGGGAGGCACATATGCAAACTGTTGTAATTCCTACACCGTTCGCCTGATTTGGATGTAAATACCCTCAAATTAAAGCTGACAGTCTGCAGTTAAAGCACATCTTATTCGTTTAATTTCAAATCCATTGTGGTGGTGTATAGAGCCAAAAATGTTAGAATTGTGTCGATGTCCCAATATTTATGGACCTGACTGTATCTACTCTATGATTTCCTGGGTCACAAGGGCAGCTATCCAATTGGATGCTGGCTCCCCATGTGACTTTGTTGGCCATCTTGGGTCAGGCAGAGCCTACTTAAGACCTTTGCTACCGTGCTTGACATGCATTTCGCGTGTGGCTACAATAGGGACAGGTCTCCCATCTGTCTGGGACAGTGCTTAGCATCAGGGAAAGGATCCGGAAGAGTAGAGAAAGTGCAGGGGCACACCATCCTTCCTGGAAGCCTCCTCACTTGTGTATGGACGACAGGCCGCATTCCACCCTTTGAGAAAAATGCTGTCGGCACACCAGGGACCCATTGCTCTGATGCTTGTATTGCCAAACTATATTGCAAAATATATTCCTGTTGCTTGTACCTAGACTCTGAGTGTTTTCTGCCGCGGAACCACACTGCACCCACCCACACTGCATGCCATGCAAAACTGACAATGTAAGAAACAAGGCATTTTGCTCTGACTATGTGTTGCTGGAAATAGCTGAAAGTGCAACCTCACAGAATCTGGTATGAACAGGCCCTTAGAATCTGAAAGAAGTAGAATTAAGTGGACATCTGTAAAGTATGCAACTGTGCTTTATACATGTGGTAAACTTTTTTTTATTTTAAAGCTCGTTGAAATAAGGTCATACAGCTGCTTTATACATAGAGCCCTAAGTGTTCCTGAGTATAGGAAAATTACATTTATTTTTGTGTTTGAACATTTATAGACCTATGGACTAATAGAAATCTGTACTAAGAGAAGCACAGTGGCTGCAACTGCTGCTCCCCTTTAAAAATGCTAGTTGACTGGCAGTCTCTGGTTTCAGCACTGACCTGGAATAAGCATGAAGATGAGAAAGTTAGAATGAGCTCAGAACTCCTGATCTGCATACACATTTCAGGTCAGCGGATGAGAAAGTGTTAAGCCATTGAAACAGCATGATAGTCAGGCAACTAACATTTTTATAAGAGGTCAGCAATGGCAGCCTCCATAATTCATTAGAATAGGGTTTCTTTGAAGGAAACCTATCATAAAAAAGGTAAAAGGCCCAAGTGTATTATAAATAAATTATAAAGTTGTAAAAAATATAGCTATACATTTTCTTGAAATAAATTAAACACTTTATTACAATGCATTTTTATTTTATTTTTTAAAAGCAATAAAATCGTAACATCATACATTTATATACTACATCCCACAAAATACTGCAGATACATTCATAGCTTGCATCTGTATTAAACATTATTAGCACTTTTTAGGTTAGGGACACTGATAGGTCTTATGAGAGCACGGGTTCCTTAAAGCCTAAGTTTAGTTAAAAAAAAAAAAAAAAAAGTTCAGCACAAGGGTTGGTACTTACATTCAATGTGAAATGTCTCTTGTGCTGCTGGCTATTCTCCTAGTTGAAATTCAAAGACATCTGTCCCGCTCCACCATACTCTCGCAGCCAAAAAATTCCACTGCGGGGGTTATGACGATGAACTGGATCTATCACAGACTCTTGTCAAGAGACTATGAGTGGGCATTTCTGCTTCCACCTCCATTCATAGAAGCTTTTCTATAGCTTTCCTGTGACAAGTGCCAGTCTGCGGCAACTTTGACATGCATCTTAAAATCTGCATATTTTGGTAGAAAATTACTTAGAACCTCCAAACAATATTTTTTTTTAAAAGCAGAAGTCCTGAAGAATAAAATGGTGGTTGTTGCAGTTTTTTTTAATGTCATACTGTTTTTTGCGCAGCCATTTATCAAATGCAAATTTTCAGAAACAAATGCACTTCAATGAATTTTAATGCATACAAATAGAGATGAGCGAAGAAATGAAAAATTCGATTCGACTGATTCGGCGAATTCGTGGACAATATTCGATTCGAGTCGAATAAATTCGCTGTGAATTTAACTTAAAAAAGGGTGTTTCTAGGCTTCAGAGAGACTTAATATTAGTGCAGAACACTGTACCTTTAATTTAAATGCCCTTGGAGTCTGCTGGGGAAGAGAAATAATACTGTCAGTCAGTATGACATGCAGATGAGTGCCGTCGATCTTAGAATCATCGCACACTTCACTCATTTGGGCAGTCACGGGGCCAAAACCAGTGTTTGGAGCCACAGTGTGGCGGTGGAGGCAGCAGCAATGGGAGGCCATACAGCAACCTATGACAAAATGGAAACCAGCAGGAGTGTGAGGAGACCTGAAAGTGGCACATGGCAGAGTGGGAGCAATGGGAGGCGGTACAGGGACCCAGGTCACACTGTGGGCCCAGCAGCAGTGTGACCAGGCGGTACGGGGGCCCATGGCAGATTTGGGGCCTGGCAGCACCTATGGGAGGCCTGTAATCTGCCAGCACCCTATGACAAAATGGAACCCTGGGCTGGGGCAGGCAGAACCGCCGTATCTTTATCACGGTTTTCCCAGGCCACCGAATGGCGACGCTGCATATGCTGACGCAACGCTGTAGTCCCAACATGGGCCCCCTGGCCACGCTTGACTTTCTGGCCACATAGTCGACATACGGCTACGTTTACTTCCTCGGGCGGCTTGACGAAAAATTGCCACACCGCAGAGTAGGAAACTTTGCCTCCGCTACTCCTCACTGGCTGACTGCTACTTCCTCCGTGCACACCGGCACCACTACTGGCCGTGGTGGTAGGCTGCAGTGGAGCTGGTGCTCTACTCCGTGGCCATTTGCCTCCACTGACACTGCTGCGACCCTGCTGCCTCCTGGCAGCAGCAATGGGAGGCCGTACAGGGACCCATGAGAGACTCTGGACTTGGCAGCAGCATGAGGAGGCGGTATATAGGGGCCCATGGCAGATTAGGGGCCTGGCAGCAGCTATGGGAGGCCCGTAATCTGCCCAGCACCCTATGTCAAAAAATTCAACACACCAGCAGTGTGAAGAGACCTGAATGTGGCACATGGCAGAGTGTGGCGATGGAAACAGCAGCAATGGGAGGCCGTACAGGGACCCATGAGAGACTCTGGACTTGGCAGCAGCATGAGGAGGCGGTATATAGGGGCCCATGGCAGATTAGGGGCCTGGCAGCAGCTATGGGAGGCCCGTAATCTGCCAGCACCCTATGTCAAAAAATTCAACACAACAGCAGTGTGTGAGGAGACCTGAAAGTGGCACATGGCAGAGTGTGGCGATGGAGACAGCAGCAATGGGAGGCCGTACAGGGACCCATGAGAGACTCTGGACATGGCAGCAGCATGAGGAGGCGGTATATAGGGGCCCATGGCAGATTAGGGGCCTGGCAGCAGCTATGGGAGGCCCGTAATCTGCCAGCACCCTATGTCAAAAAATTCAACACAACAGCAGTGTGTGAGGAGACCTGAAAGTGGCACATGGCAGAGTGTGGCGATGGAGACAGCAGCAATGGGAGGCCGTACAGGGACCCATGAGAGACTCTGGACTTGGCAGCAGCATGAGGAGGCGGTATGGGTATATAGGGGCCCATGGCAGATTAGGGGCCTGGCAGCAGCTATGGGAGGCCCGTAATCTGCCAGCACCCTATGTCAAAAAATTCAACACACCAGCAGTGTGAGGAGACCTGAAAGTGGCACATGGCAGAGTGTGGCGATGGAGACAGCAGCAATGGGAGGCCGTACAGGGACCCATGAGAGACTCTGGACTTGGCAGCAGCATGAGGAGGCGGTATATAGGGGCCCATGGCAGATTAGGGGGGGCCTGGAAGCAGCTATGGGAGGCCCGTAATCTGCCAGCACCCTATGTCAAAAAAAATTCAACACACCAGCAGTGTGTGAGGAGACCTGAAAGTGGCACATGGCAGAGTGTGGCGATGGAGACAGCAGCAATGGGAGGCCGTACAGGGACCCATGAGAGACTCTGGACTTGGCAGCAGCATGAGGAGGCGGTATATAGGGGCCCATGGCAGATTAGGGGCCTGGCAGCAGCTATGGGAGGCCCGTAATCTGCCAGCACCCTATGTCAAAAAATTCAACACACCAGCAGTGTGAGGAGAGACCTGAAAGTGGCACATGGCAGAGTGTGGCGATGGAGACAGCAGCAATGGGAGGCCGTACAGGGACCCATGAGAGACTCTGGACTTGGCAGCAGCATGAGGAGGCGGTATATAGGGGCCCATGGCAGATTAGGGGCCTGGCAGCAGCTATGGGAGGCCCGTAATCTGCCAGCACCCTATGTCAAAAAATTCAACACACCAGCAGTGTGTGAGGAGACCTGAATGTGGCACATGGCAGAGTGTGGCGATGGAAACAGCAGCAATGGGAGGCCGTACAGGGACCCATGAGAGACTCTGGACTTGGCAGCAGCATGAGGAGGCGGTATATAGGGGCCCATGGCAGATTAGGGGCCTGGCAGCAGCTATGGGAGGCCCGTAATCTGCCAGCACCCTATGTCAAAAAAAAATTCAACACAACAGCAGTGTGTGAGGAGACCTGAAAGTGGCACATGGCAGAGTGTGGCGATGGAGACAGCAGCAATGGGAGGCCGTACAGGGACCCATGAGAGACTCTGGACTTGGCAGCAGCATGAGGAGGCGGTATATAGGGGCCCATGGCAGATTAGGGGCCTGGCAGCAGCTATGGGAGGCCCGTAAATCTGCCAGCACCCTATGTCAAAAAATTCAACACAACAGCAGTGTGTGAGGAGACCTGAAAGTGGCACATGGCAGAGTGTGGCGATGGAGACAGCAGCAATGGGAGGCCGTACAGGGACCCATGAGAGACTCTGGACTTGGCAGCAGCATGAGGAGGCGGTATATAGGGGCCCATGGCAGATTAGGGGCCTGGCAGCAGCTATGGGAGGCCCGTAATCTGCCAGCACCCTATGTCAAAAAATTCAACACACCAGCAGTGTGTGTGAGAGACCTGAAAGTGGCACATGGCAGAGTGTGGCGATGGGACAGCAGCAATGGGAGGCCGTACAGGGACCCATGAGAGACTCTGGACTTGGCAGCAGCATGAGGAGGCGGTATATAGGGGCCCATGGCAGATTAGGGGCCTGGCAGCAGCTATGGGAGGCCCGTAATCTGCCAGCACCCTATGTCAAAAAATTCAACACAACAGCAGTGTGTGAGGAGACCTGAAAGTGGCACATGGCAGAGTGTGGCGATGGAGACAGCAGCAATGGGAGGCCGTACAGGGACCCATGAGAGACTCTGGACTTGGCAGCAGCATGAGGAGGCGGTATATAGGGGCCCATGGCAGATTAGGGGCCTGGCAGCAGCTATGGGAGGCCCGTAATCTGCCAGCACCCTATGTCAAAAAATTCAACACACCAGCAGTGTGAAGAGACCTGAATGTGGCACATGGCAGAGTGTGGCGATGGAGACAGCAGCAATGGGAGGGGCCGTACAGGGACCCCATGAGAGACTCTGGACTTGGCAGCAGCATGAGGAGGCGGTATATAGGGGCCCATGGCAGATTAGGGGCCTGGCAGCAGCTATGGGAGGCCCGTAATCTGCCAGCACCCTATGTCAAAAAATTCAACACACACAGCAGTGTGTGAGGAGACCTGAAAGTGGCACATGGCAGAGTGTGGCGATGGAGACAGCAGCAATGGGAGGCCGTACAGGGACCCATGAGAGACTCTGGACTTGGCAGCAGCATGAGGAGGCGGTATATAGGGGCCCATGGCAGATTAGGGGCCTGGCAGCAGCTATGGGAGGCCCGTAATCTGCCAGCACCCTATGTCAAAAAAATTCAACACACCAGCAGTGTGAGGAGACCTGAAAGTGGCACATGGCAGAGTGTGGCGATGGAGACAGCAGCAATGGGAGGCCGTACAGGGACCCATGAGAGACTCTGGACTTGGCAGCAGCATGAGGAGGCGGTATATATAGGGGCCCATGGCAGATTAGGGGCCTGGCAGCAGCTATGGGAGGCCCGTAATCTGCCAGCACCCTATGTCAAAAAATTCAACACACCAGCAGTGTGTGAGGAGACCTGAAAGTGGCACATGGCAGAGAGTGTGGCGATGGAGACAGCAGCAATGGGAGGCCGTACAGGGACCCATGAGAGACTCTGGACTTGGCAGCAGCATGAGGAGGCGGTATATAGGGGCCCATGGCAGATTAGGGGCCTGGCAGCAGCTATGGGAGGCCCGTAATCTGCCAGCACCCTATGTCAAAAAATTGAAACACAGACAGCAGTGTGTGAGGAGACCTGAAAGTGGCACATGGCAGAGTGTGGCGATGGAGACAGCAGCAATGGGAGGCCGTACAGGGACCCATGAGAGACTCTGGACTTGGGCAGCAGCATGAGGAGGCGGTATATAGGGGCCCATGGCAGATTAGGGGCCTGGCAGCAGCTATGGGAGGCCCGTAATCTGCCAGCACCCTATGTCAAAAAATTCAAACACACCAGCAGTGTGAGGAGACCTGAAAGTGGGCACATGGCAGAGTGTGGCGATGGAGACAGCAGCAATGGGAGGCCGTACAGGGACCCATGAGAGACTCTGGAACTGGCAGCAGCAGCATGAGGAGGCGGGCGGTATATAGGGGCCCATGGCAGATTAGGGGCCTGGCAGCAGCTATGGGGGCCCGTAATCTGCCAGCACCCTATGTCAAAAAATTCAACACACAGCAGTGTGTGAGGAGACCTGAAAGTGGCACATGGCAGAGTGTGGCGATGGAGACAGCAGCAATGGGAGGCCGTACAGGGACCCATGAGATGAGAGACTCTGGACTTGGCAGCAGCATGAGGAGGCGGTATATAGGGGCCCATGGCAGATTAGGGGCCTGGCAGCAGCTATGGGGGCCCGTAATCTGCCAGCACCCTATGTCAAAAATTTCAACACACCAGCAGTGTGAAGAGACCTGAAAGTGGCACATGGCAGAGTGTGGCGATGGAGACAGCAGCAATGGGAGGCCGTACAGGGACCCATGAGAGACTCTGGACTTGGCAGCAGCATGAGGAGGCGGTATATAGGGGCCCATGGCAGATTAGGGGCCTGGCAGCAGCTATGGGAGGCCCGTAATCTGCCAGCACCCTATGTCAAAAAAAATTCAACACACAGCAGTGTGTGAGGAGACCTGAAAGTGGCACATGGCAGAGAGTGTGGCGATGGAGACAGCAGCAATGGGAGGCCGTACAGGGACCCATGAGAGACTCTGGACTTGGCAGCAGCATGAGGAGGCGGTATATAGGGGCCCATGGCAGATTAGGGGCCTGGCAGCAGCTATGGGAGGCCCGTAATCTGCCAGCACCCTATGTCAAAAAATTCAACACACCAGCAGTGTGTGAGGAGACCTGAAAGTGGCACATGGCAGAGAGTGTGGCGATGGAGACAGCAGCAATGGGAGGCCGTACAGGGACCCATGAGAGACTCTGGACTTGGCAGCAGCAGCATGAGGAGGCGGTATATAGGGGCCCATGGCAGATTAGGGGCCTGGCAGCAGCTATGGGAGGCCCGTAATCTGCCAGCACCCTATGTCAAAAAATTCAACACACAGCAGTGTGAGGAGACCTGAAAGTGGCACATGGCAGAGTGTGGCGATGGAGACAGCAGCAATGGGAGGCCGTACAGGGACCCATGAGAGACTCTGGACTTGGCAGCAGCATGAGGAGGCGGTATATAGGGGCCCATGGCAGATTAGGGGCCTGGCAGCAGCTATATGGGAGGCCCGTAATCTGCCAGCACCCTATGTCAAAAAATTCATTCAACACCAGCAGTGTGTGAGGAGACCTGAAAGTGGCACATGGCAGAGTGTGGCGATGGGAGACAGCAGCAATGGGAGGCCGTACAGGGACCCATGAGAGACTCTGGACTTGGCAGCAGCATGAGGAGGCGGTATATAGGGGCCCATGGCAGATTAGGGGCCTGGCAGCAGCAGCTATGGGAGGCCCGTAATCTGCCAGCACCCTATGTCAAAAAAAATTCAACACACCAGCAGTGTGAGGAGACCTGAAAGTGGCACATGGCAGAGTGTGGCGATGGAGACACAGCAGCAATGGGAGGCCGTACAGGGACCCCATGAGAGACTCTGGACTTGGCAGCAGCATGAGGAGGCGGTATATAGGGGCCCATGGCAGATTAGGGGCCTGGGCAGCAGCTATGGGAGGCCCGTAATCTGCCAGCACCCTATGTCAAAAAATTCAAACACACCAGCAGTGTGTGAGGAGACCTGAAAGTGGCACATGGCAGAGAGTGTGGCGATGGAGACAGCAGCAATGGGAGGCCGTACAGGGACCCATGAGAGACTCTGGACTTGGCAGCAGCATGAGGAGGCGGGTATATATAGGGGCCCATGGCAGATTAGGGGCCTGGCAGCAGCTATGGGAGGCCCGTAATCTGCCAGCACCCTATGTCAAAAAAATTCAACACACACAGCAGCAGTGTGTGAGGAGACCTGAAAAGTGGCACATGGCAGAGTGTGGCGATGGAGACAGCAGCAATGGGAGGCCGTACAGGGACCCATGAGAGACTCTGGACTTGGCAGCAGCATGAGGAGGCGGTATATAGGGGCCCATGGCAGATTAGGGGCCTGGCAGCAGCTATGGGAGGCCCGTAATCTGCCAGCACCCTATGTCAAAAAATTCAAACACACCAGCAGTGTGTGAGGAGACCTGAAAGTGGCACATGTTTGAGGCATGATTCATGGCGGATTTAGTCAGTTGTGTCAGGAACTGGTGGTTTGAAATCCAGACTAATCCACGCCTGATTCATTTTCACAAACGTGAGTCTCTCCACACTTTGGGTGGACAGTCGTGTCCTCCGCGGAGTTTACAATACCTCCTGCCGCACTAAACACGCGCTCCGATGCCACGCTACTGGCCGGGCATGACAGCCTTTCAAGGGCAAATTCAGCTAGTTGGGGCCAAAGGTCAAGTTTCGTTGCCCAGTAGTCAAGGGGATTGTCTACCTCGGTTGGCAGGGTGCTGTCCAAGTAGGCCCAAGCCTGTTGTTTGAGCTCCTGCTCCAGGTCCACCTGATGCTGATGCTGCTGCTGCTGCTGCGGCTGGTTAGTAGTTTCCTCACTGCGCTGGTGGTGAAGAAAGCTACTCATCATCGACTGCAGACTGAGGCAGCCGCTGCTGGTGGAGCTGCCACTGCTCCTACCACCCCACCCCTCCCCTGCTGCCATGCCAGCGGAACGCGAGCGCACAGGGCCCACAGTGTCTGAGGATGGACGTTGGCGCACAAAGGCAGAGACCAACTGACTACATAGGTGGTTTTTTATAGTACGTAATTTTGGCCTCCCTCTCAGCAGGTGTGAAAAAGGCCACCATTTTGGACCGGTAGCGAGGGTCCAACAAGGTGGACAGCCCAAAAGTCATCCCCTCTGTCTGATGGTTATTATTCGGCTGTCGCTACGCAAGCAAGCAACCGAGCATGCTATGGGCCATTTGTGCCAAGGAATGCGAGGGACTCCCTGCCTCCATCTCCACAGCATACTGCCACGGTGCGTCTGGGTCCTCTGTCTCCTCTCCTCCTCCTCCTCCTCCTCTACCAGATGCTCCTGCTCCTCCACTCCTGTCCGCTGAGTGGGAAAAACCACCCATTTCACTCAATAATTCCTGAGCACAAATGTCCTCCTCTACCTCCTCCTCTTCTTCCTGTCCTGCCCCACAGGGGTCATGTGGCGTTGAGATCTGTGCGCCACGTCTACCGCACCCTGACCCATTGTTAACAGCATTTGTTCCAGGACGTGCAACAGAGGAATGACGTCGTTCATCCCATAGTCCTGCCGACTCACGAATAGCGTGGCCTCCTCAAAGGGCCTGAGCAAGCGGCAGGTGTCACGCATGAGCTGCCAATGGCTGACATCTAAGTTACACAGGGGAGTACCTTTATCCGCTTGTAACATCAGGAAATCGGTGATGGCCTTTCGCTGCTCGTAAAGGCGGTCTAACATGTGTAGGGTTGAATTCCACCTTGTTGCAACGTCGCAGATCAGGCGATGCTGTGGAATTCCGTTCTGCCGCTGCAGCTCAATGAGGGTGTTCTTTGCGGTGTAGGAATGGCTGAAATGCATGCACAGTTTACGTGACATTTTAAGGATGTCTTGCAGTGGGATGGTGGATTTTAGGAACCGCTTGACAACCAGATTGAACACGTGAGCCATGCATGGCGCATGGCACAACCTTCCTTGACGCAGAGCAGACACCATGTTCTTTCCGTTGTCGGTCAACATGGTTCCGATTTTAAGTTTGCGCGGAGACAGCCCATCTGTCGATTTCTCTGTTCATTACACTCAGCAGTTCCTCCCCTGTGTGACTACGTTCGCCAAGGCATACCAGGTGCAGCACAGCGTGACACCGTTGCGCCCTGCACATGTGATATGCCGGTCGGGTAATGGGACTTGGCACGGGGGGGGGTGGCGGCTGAGGACACGGCGGAAAAAGAGGTGGTAGAGGCGGACATGTTTGCTGGACCAAGGACGTGCAAACGTGGAGGCAAAAGCGTCGTGACCTGTCCAAGTTGCTGGTGCGGCTGTGCCGGCACCACACGTTCACCCAGTGGGCCGTAAATGACATGTACTGTCCCCTGACCGTAGTTACAGCTCCACACGTCGGCGCTGCCGTGCACTTTGGCAGAGACCGACATGCTCAAAGACTGGCCCACCATCTCTTCTACATGTGAATGCAGGGCTGGCACTGCCTTTTGGGCAAAGAAATGACGGCTTGGCACTCTCCACCGCGGCGCGGCACAAGCCATCATTTCTCGGAAAGGTGCTGAGTCCACCAGTTGGAAAGGGAGGGACTGCAGCACCAGCAAACTTGGACAGGAGGACGTTCAGCTTTTGCACCGTCGGGTGCGTGCTCGCAAACTGTTGTCTCTTGGAAACGGATTCCAAGAAAGACTGTTGACGGAATCCGAGAAGAGGAGTAGCAGGAGAAGGAGCATCTGAACGAGCGGAAGATGCCAACGAGCGACAACTCCCCTCAGCAGAGGTGTTGGAGCCTTGACTGGCTGATAGAGGGTGATTGACGACGACGTCGGGGGTGACGGAGCAAGTAACGGAGCGGGTGTGATGGAGCGGGGGCTGGGGCAGGCAGAACCGCCGTATCTTTATCACGGTTTTCCCAGGCCAACGAATGGTGACCTGCATATGCTGACGCAACGCTGTAGTCCCAACATGGGCCCCCTGGCCACGCTTGCATTTTCTGGCCACATAGTCGACATACGGCTACGTTTACTTCCTCGGGCGGCTTGACGAAAAATTGCCACACCACCGAGTAGGAAACTTTGCCCCCGCTACTCCTCACTGGCTGACTGCTACTTCCTCCGTGCGCACCGGCACCACTACTGGCCGTGGTGGTAGGCTGCAGTGGAGCTGGTGCTCTACTCCGTGGCCGTTTGGCTCCACTGACACTGATGCGACCCTGCTGCCTCCTGGGCAACCCACCGACTGTTTCGCTCGCTGCCAAGCTGGCACCCTCTTCTCCTGATGATGCGGAAGAAATTGCCTGATGACGACGAGGCAGCCAAGTGCGATCAACCTCCTCATCATCAGGTACGGTCTCCGCCTCACTACTAGCCCCCTCGGCTGCGTCTGGGTCAGGAGACAGACCTGTCTCTAGAGACCGGCTACAGAGCCACTCTCCTCGCCAGTACTTCTTCGCCTGGCTGCTGAAAAGGCCGATGTCTCCCCCCGTTCCTGACCGCCCTCTGTTAGCTCTTCCTCACTGTACAGTGGGGCTGAGCCCACAGCATGCGATACTTCGCTTGGTGAGGGGAACAGCAAAGGACAGGGGCAGGTAGAGGACATGTGATTTCAGTGGGCTTGCTCCCGGGCCATGCCAACTAACGGTTGTGTCTGACGTACCCACCGACCGTTGGCTGTAGGTGTCAGAGGTGACCTGGGAAGAGGAAGACGACGACCGAGCCAACCAATCAATGACGGCAGGGTTGTCGGTGGAGACACGACCGCTGGATGACACCGGGAGCACTGGCCTCTGGCTGCGAATAG